AAGATCAGCGCTGGAATCACTGCCCACACATGGCTATTGAACACTTGAAGTGAGTTGGTATAGCTGAATTAAATAACCACAGTTACTTAAGTAAACAACAATCCCTTCTTTGTACTTTCTGGGCTTTAGTTAAACTTACGTAACAATTTTAATTTCAAAAACTGCTTTGGCTGAACAATAAAGCTACAAAAATATTTCTCATTGCGATAAATTTGCTCTTCAGTGATGCCAATGAAGACTCTCCCAAAATTCCAGGTGGATCACAACGGTTTTCATGACACGATTCCCCTCTGGCAGACCTCTCTTAGAAGATGTCGCAGGTATGAAATAAGACTGAGCCACGGGAGAAGCGCAGCCCTTTGGACTCCCCTGCAATTTCTATAGCATTCACTCATAACTTGGAAGCACCCTAGAGCGAAGCTACCAAGAGGGTTTAAGAATGCAACAATGGCCGGGCGCGGTGGCTCAAGCCTGTAATCCCAGCACTTTGGGAGGCCGAGGCGGGTGGATCACGAGGTCAAGAGATGGAGACCATCCTGGTCAACATGGTGAAACCCCGTCTCTACTCAAAATACAAAAAATTAGCTGGGCATGGTGGCGCGTGCCTGTAATCCCAGCTACTCAGGAGGCTGAGGCAGGAGAATTGCCTGAACCCAGGAGGCGGAGATTGTGGTGAGCCGAGATTGCGCCATTGCACTCCAGCCTGGGTAACAAGCAAAAACTCCGTCTCAAAAAAAAAAAAAAAAAGAATGCAACAGTGAACGGGGCGCGGTGGCTCACGCCTGTAATCCCACCACTTTGGAGGCCGAGGCGAGCGGATCATCTTAAGTCTAGAGTTCGAGACCAGCCTAACCACCCCGTCACTACTAAATACAAAAGATTAGCCGGGCGTGGTGGCGGCCGCCTATAATCCCAGCTACTTGGGAAGCTGAGGCACGAAAATCGCTTGATCCCGGGAGGCGGAGTTGGCAGTGAGCCGAGATCGCGCCACTGCACTCTAGACACAGCAAGACTCCGTCTTTAAAAACAAAAACAAAAACAAAAAACAGTGCAACAATGATACCGCACTGAGCATGCGGATTTACCCTCAAGCTAAAATCCGCAACAAAATGCACGACTTTTGAGTTAGGAGTAGAGGCTTAAAAAGATGAACGACAAAGAGAGACAACCTCCTCCCCACGCTACACACACCGACACTGTAACACAAATTAGAGTGCATACGCACGGCTCAAGTGTTTGGGGAAAACGAACAAAATGGGAAAAATCCTTCCTCCAAAATGGAGGGAATTCCTACCGGGCACTGGAGCCCCGGGAGCAGCGCAGCCAGCGCCATCTCCTCTTGCCAGCCGCACCACGCGGTCACCCTGCGTGACCCACAGGCAGGTGGGCGGTAAGGACCCCTTGCTTTCCAAGCTGGCACAACCCTATGAAAGGGCCGCGGCCGGAGGCAGCGGGCCCGGCCAGGGAAGAGGGGACCCACTCACGTTCTCGAAGCCTGTTCTTAAAGTTGGGGTCACTTCGTCTTTTGCGGTCGAAGTAGATGCAGTACCCGATAAAAAGGGCCCCACATACACCGGCGGCGATGGCACTGTTCCGACCCACCATCTTCTCTACAACGCGGAGCGTGAGCGATGGCGGCAGAAACCGCGAGGGAGCTGTGGGCCCCAAACCCCCAGAGCGGAGGGCGCAGCTCACACCCGACGCCCGCGGGCCAGGAACTCCGAAAGGCCAAGAACACGCCACTTCCGGTCCCAATCAAGTAAGGACCCCGGGGTCGTCTGCGGCAGTGCCTGAGCAGAGGCCCTTGGCGCGGCTCCTGCGCCTGCGCAATGGGCCACGCCAGCGTCCCCCGGGCGCCCCTTAAGTATACGCTTTGGAATCGGGAAGATTTGCACGTGACCGCGCATCTTATCTTCAGACGCGCCAACCGTGCTGTAAGGAGATGGGCGCGTGGCTGGCGTGTACGTACACACAGGACTAGGTGACAGAATTGTTTCTGACAAAGATGCAGGGTCCCAGACTGCGAATGCTTCATTAATTTAAACAGGTTGTCACTTGTTTAAATTAAACTGTACTTGCTTTTCAGGGCGCCACAAGCCATTGTGCGTAGTGATTCCATTTCAAAAGAAAGTTACAGAATAGCCTCATTTTATGATGACCGGAATAAAATGAAACGGAGTAATTTTTTGAAAAATATACACAAGAAATTGAAGGAAAAAATAGAAAACATGAGTTGTGTTACAGCCACATGAAAACATATACATGATCAGGCCAGGCACGGTGGCTCACACCTGTAATCTCAGCACTTCGGAAGACTTGAGGCGGGAAGATCACTCAAGGTCAGGAGTTCGAGACCAGCCTGGGCAATATGGTGAACCCTGTCTTTACTCAAAATACAAAAATTAGCTGGTCATGGTGGCGGGCGCCTGTAATCTCAGCTACCCTGGAGGCTGAGGCCGGAGAATCGCTTGAACCAGGAGGCGGAGTTTGCAGTGAGCCGAGATCGCACCACTGCATTCCTAGCCTTGGTAACAGACCGGGATTGTTTAAAATATATATGTGTGTGTGTGTGTGTGTGTGTGTGTGTGTGTATGTGTGTATATATATATATGAGATACATATTATATATGTACATGTGTATATGATATATAGAGATCAAAGTTAAGACAGTCTGACAAAACCGTGTATATATTATATATACATATACGTATATGTATATATGTGCTATATATATATATGTATGATCAAAGTTAAGATATTCTGGCAAGGAAAACCGTGGGCAGAAAGCAGGCATAAAGTTGAGGGGTAAAGAAGTCAAGCACCTGTGTCAAAGGCATTGGAACCAGAGTTACTTTACCTTGAATAGGGACTGAGTAAAATGAGCTGAGACCCACTGGGACACATTCCCAGAAAGTTTGGCATTCTTGATCACAGGATATTTACAGGGAAGAGAACAAGTTAATAAATGTTTACCTAACAGACCCAGGTAATGTCCTGATGTCCCGTTATCTTAAGAACAAAAGAAATCAAATAAATTAAAAAAGAAAATAAAAAAATAGAAAAAAAAACAACAAAACAATTCTTAATTTTCGCTTTAAGAATAGTATCGATTCTTGCAGTAGACAGTAGTTACACAGAATTAACAGTCCTTTTACAAAGAAGGGGTGCAGTGTCTCACACCTGTAATCCCAGCAATTTGGGAGGCCCAGATGGGCAGAGAGCTTGAGCCCAAGAGTTCAACACCAGCCTGGGCAACATGGAGAGACCCTATCTCTACAAAAAAATTTTAAAATTAGCCAGATGTGGTGGCTCACATCTGTGGTCCCAACTACACAGGGGAAGAGGAGGGCGAATCCCTTGATTCACGGAGGTCGAGGCTGCAGTGAGTTATGATTACACTACACTCTAAGCTGGGTGACGGAGTGAGAGAGACCTTGTCTCAAAACAAACACAAAAAACCAATCCTTTGTCACAAGTTCTTGTAGTAGCACACGTGTTCCCCATTCTTTTTTTACTGAGTTATAAACGAGCATTGTACCTAAGGTGGACATGTTCCTTCTCTTGCTTTTGGGTATGCCCCACTCTATGAAGTAGCCCGTCTTTCACATTTTTTTTTAGATGGAGTCTTGCTCTGTCACCCCGGCTGGAGTGCAGTGGTGCTATCTCGGCTCACCGCAACCTCTGCCTCCTAGGTTCAAGCGATTCTCCTGCCTCGGCCTCCTGAGTGGCTGGCATTACAGGCACGCACCACCACACCCCGCTGATTTTTGTATTTTTAGTAGAGACGGGGTTTCACCATGTTGATCAGGCTGGATTCAAACTCCTGACCTCATGATCTGCCCACCTCGGCCTTCCAAAGTGTTGGGATTGGGATTACAGGCGTGAGCCACTGCGCCAGGTTTTTTTTTTTTTTTTTTTTTGGAGACAGAGCCTTACTCTGTCACCCAGGCTCGAGTGCAGTGGCACAATCTCAGCTCACTACAACCTGTCTCCTGGGTTCAAGCAAATTCCCTGCCTCAGCCTCCCTAGTAGCTAGGATTACAGGTTTGTGCCACCACGCCTGGCTAATTCTTGTATTTTTAGTAGAGGCAGGGTTTGACCATATTGGCCAGGCTGGTCTTGAACTCCTGACCTCTGGTGATCCACCTGCCTCCGCCTTCCAAAGTGTTGAGATTACAGGTATGAGCCACCATGCCCAGGCTTCTTTACTTTTTTATAAATAAACTTGTTTTCACTTTACTCTGTGGACTGGCCCAAATTCTTTCTTAGCAAGGTACAAGAAACCTCTGTTGAGGTCTGGATCCAGACACTTTTCTAGTAACAGCAGGATTTGGCTGGCCTTTGTCCCCAGTTCCTGAGAGCTCTAACCCATTACAATTGACTGGTTATTCATTCCTATAATCCTGGCACGCTGGGAGGATCGCTTGAGTCCAGCAATTTGAGACCAGCCTGGGCAACAAAGTGAGATACTGAAGCGACGTCATTTGGGCTAATACCCAAGGTTCGTTTCCTCATGCCAAGGAAAGCAAGAACAGAGGCACATGTGGAGTAAGGTTAAGAGCAGAGGTTTAATAGGCACAAGAAAAAAAAGGGAGGCCCAGATGTGGTGGCTCATGCCTTCAATCCCAGCACCTTGAGGGGGCCAAGGCAGGTGGATCACCTGAGGTCAGGAGTTCCGGACCAGCCTGGCCAACGTGGTAAAACCCCGCCTGTACTAAAAATACAGAAAATAGCTGGGTGTGGTGGCAGGTGCCTGTAATCCCAGCTACTCAGCAGACTGAGGCAGGAGAAGCGCCTGAACTTGGGAGGCAGAGGTTGCCATAACCTGAAATCACACCACTGCACTCCAGCCTGGGCAACAAGAGCACAACTCTGTCTCAAAAAAAAAAGACAAACCCTTCAAAGGTAGAGGTACTATTACAATGTGAATAAATTGAGAATGTGGAAGTGTCCACATTTTGTATATACCATCTGTAAAAAATTATACAACTCAACACATGATTAGGAGAAAACAGCACTTTTATTAGTAGCTCAGCAGGAAAAGAAAAAGCAGCTCCTGGTTATTTCTGTTTCCTCTGTTTCTTAGTGCATCTACTTTTCTTCTGTCCTTTCTTCTTCTTTTTAATGAGAACAGCTTTCTCTCCAATAAACAGGCTTTTAGAATGTCCTTCTGCATTTTTAGAAGTCAAATTAAGTCCCTGCTTAGGTTTACTAACATTCTTCAATCGTGGATTTGAATTTTGTTGTTTTAATTTTTCTTTATTAACAGAACGCATGACTCTGAGTTTTCTTCCCATTAGTTCAGAATTATTTAATTTCAGAGCAAGATGAACTGAATCTGTATGCTGCAAATAAAAAGAAAACACAATACATTAATTTCTACCAGAAACCCATCTGCGAAGAAACCAGTGAAGTGTGACTTTAACTGATGAGAACGACTTTCCAGTTTGCACAGATAATCCCCATCCAATCCCAGGTGCATCAGCCGCCATGCTCCGAGTCTCCCACCACGCTCCTCACCAGTGTTTCCCCAGGAAGCACTCAAGCTGCGTGTGAAATGTTCAGCTAAGTCACAATGCTATATGATTCATTTTTTCATTGTAAAATGAGGTTCTAAACTAGACTAGTCACATACAATATTTTAAACCAATAAACCTTCTCACAGCTATCTTTCTGTCAAAGCCCCACTGCATTAGGTGACGAGAGGGCAGGGAACTCTGTATTACAGTACCTGAGATGTTGGACTAGATTCCCTCTAGGGTTCCATTTAGATCCAAAATTCTGTTATACTTCTATTCTTTTTTTTTTTTTCCAGAGAATATTCCAAGTAATATACTTCTATTCTAATATAGAGCCATTAATGCTTACAACCCTGAATATCCATGAGCTGTTTGTTAAAGGGCTTTAGAAGCGTATCAAGTAATAGAAGACAGGGAGCAGAGAAGCAGTGAGATAACTACAAGATATAACAATAGCAACACAAGCTGTGAAAACCTTTCTAAAAAAGCTACCAGGCAATTGTCACCATTTCTCAAGTTTTCAAAATGGTAACACATTTTAATCTAGTAATATCCTACTGGGGATCGATCAGAAAGAAGTAATCTACAATTCAAGCAAACTTTGGAGAGAAAAACATAACCAGGCCAAGCAGGGTGACTCACACCTATAATCCTAGCACTTTGGGAGGCCAAGGTGGATAGACTGCTTGCACTCACTCAGAGTTCAAGACCAGCCTGAGAAATATGGGGAAATCCTGTCTCTACAAGAAAATATAAAAATTAGCCAGGCATGGTGGCACACACCTGTAGTCCTAGCTACTCAGGAAATTGAGATGGGAGAATCCCTAGAGCCTGGGAGGCAGAGGCTGCAGTGAGCTGAGATCGTGCCATAGCACTCCAGCCTCGGCAACAGAGTGAGACTGTTTAAAAAAAAAAAAAAAAAACATGTAACCACTGCAATTTCATTATTACAGGGAAAAACAGAGAATTCTACCATGGTCCAACATGAGAGAAATGACAGTATAGATTCTGTTACATCACTCAATGGAACATGCTTACGTAATAGGAAATAACATAAAATAGGATGTAAACACAATTTTATATTTACAAAGAGAAGTTCAACTATAAAAATGGCAGGACAAGGAAAAACTGAAAGGAAATGTACTAATGGGTTGTTACTGAGGGAAGAAAAATTTATGACATCCCAAAATATGTACAGTCAGGTCCCCAAATCCATGACTTCAGTATCAGATGATTCAACCAATCGCAAATGGAAAATACTTGAAAACAACAAATAATATGACAATTTAAAAATATTTATTTATTTATTTATTTTTTTTTTTTTTTTGAGACGGAGTTTCACTCTTGTTACCCAGGCTGGAGTGCAATGGCGCGATCTCGGCTCACCGCAACCTCCGCCTCCTGGGTTCAAGCAATTCTCCTGCCTCAGCCTCCTGAGTAGCTGGGATTACAGGCACGCGCCACCACGCCCAGCTAATTTTTTGTATTTTTAGTAGAGACAGGGTTTCACCATGTTGACCAGGATGGTCTCGATCTCTTGACCTCGTGATCCACCCGCCTCGGCCTCCCAAAGTGCTGGGATTACAGGCTTGAGCCACCGCGCCCAGCCAAAAATATTTATTTTATATATATATATAACAATATATATTTGTATAAATATGCCATTTTATATAAGGAACTTGAGCATCTGCAGATATATACATTGTTTGCTATGTGACAGGGATCCTAGAACCAATACGCCGTGGATACCAAGGGATGACAACAGGTTCTTTCTTTTTTTTTTTTTATTATTATTATTATTTTTTTATTTTTTATTTTTTTTGGAGACAGAGTTTCGCTCTTGTTACCCAGGCTGGAGTGCAATGGCGCGGTCTTGGCTCACTGCAACCTCCGCCTCCTGGGTTCAAGCAATCCTCCTGCCTCAGCCTCCTGAGTAGCTGGGATTACAGGCACGCACCACCATGCCCAGCTAGTTTTTTGTATTTTTTAGTAGAGACGGGGTTTCACCATGTTGACCAGGATGGTCTCGATCTCTTGACCTCGTGATCCACCCGCCTTGGCCTCCCAAAGTGCTGGGACTACAGGCTTGAGCCACCGCGCCCGGCCGTTTTTTTTTTTTTTGAGACGGAGTTTCGCTCTTGTTACCCAGGCTGGAGTGCAATGGCGCGATCTCGGCTCATCGCAACCTCCGCCTCCTGGGTTCAGGCAATTCTCCTGCCTCAGCCTCCTGAGTAGCTGGGATTACAGGCACGCGCCACCATGCCCAGCTAATTTTTGTATTTTTAGTAGAGACAGGGTTTCACTATGTTGACCAGGATGGTCTCGATCTCTTGACCTCGTGATCCACCCGCCTCGGCCTCCCAAAGTGCTGGGATTACAGGCTTGAGCCACCGCGCCCGGCCCTCTTGTTTGTTTTGAGATAGGGTCTCACTCTGTCACTTTGGCTGGAGTGAAGTGGTGCATTCTTAAGCAATCGTCCAGCCTCAGCCTCCTGAGTAGACAGGACCACAGGTGCCAGCTACCGTGACCAATTATTTATTTATTGACAGGGTCTCACTCTGCCATCCAGGTTGGATGGTTTACTGCAGCCTTGACCTCCCAAGGCTCAGGTGACCCTCCTGCCTCAGCCCTGCAAGGAACTGGTACTACAGGCATGCAGCACCATGCCCAGCTGATTTTTGTATTTTTTTTTTGTAGAGGCGGGATTTTGCCACATTGCCCAGGCTAGTCTTGAATTCCTGGCCTCAAGTGATCTAACTGCCTTGGCCTCCCAAAGTGCTGGGATTACAGGCGCGAGCCACTGACCCAGCCTTACTTACATATTTTTTTATAGAGACGGTGTCTACCTATGTTGCTCACGCTGGTCTTAAAAGTCCCCGCCTTAATCAAGCCTCTTGTTTCAGCCCCTACAAAGTGCTGGGATTACAGTCAGGAGTCAACATGCCCGACCTGTATATTCTTTTACTACTTAATATTGTCAGGCATGAAACACTGGTTAAAAATTAATGAACTAATGGCCGGGCGCGGTGGCTCACGCCTGTAATCCTAGCACTTTGGGAGGCTGAGGTGGGTGGATCACCTGAGGTCAGGAGTTCAAGACCGGCCTGGCCATCATGGTGAAACCCCATCTTTAAAATTAAAAAAAAAAAAAAAAAAAAAAAAAAAAAATTAATGAACTAGGGAGCCGCGGTGGCTCAGGCCAGTTGTCCTGGTGCACAAGGAGGTGAGGTCAGGCGTTAAAGGCCAGCATGGGCAACGTATAAACCTCTCATCCATTAAAAAAAAAAAAAATTAAGAGCTAAATATTACTAATTTTGTACAAAGAATAAAACTTTCTTATACCTGAATGTCAATTATTTACTCTATTGTAGAGAAGGTGGACGAGATTTAATGATTTTAGTCCTAATATCCAATATCTGAAACACTTAACTAGTATAAAGAAAGAAGTAGGATGTTTTTTGGATAGGTGCAGTCATAGCAATATATTATGGCAGGTTATGAATTCAGTTTTCTTGTTTTCATTTTGTTTTGAGACGAAGTCTTGCTCTGTGGCCCAGGCTGGAATACAGTGGTGCAATCTCAGCTCACTGCAACCTCCACTCCTAGATTCAAGTGATTCTCCTGACTCGGCCTCCTGAGTAGCTGGGATTATAGGCATCTGCCACCACACCCGAATAACTTTTGTATCTTAGTGGAGACGAGGTTTCACCATGTGGGCCAGGCTGCTCTCGAACTCCTGAGCTCAAGAGATCCACCTGTCTCAGCCTCCCAAGGTGCTGGGATTACAGGCATGAGTCACTGTGCCCAGCCCAGTTTTCTTAAGATGGAATTTGAGAATGGAAGTGAAAGTTATGTCTGGATGACACACAGCAGTGTCAATGCCTCCGGGGCACTTCAAAGGACAGTGACAATAATCCCCCATACCTCAAAGAGCACATAGCCAAACCCTTTGCCAACGCCTGTAACTTGGTCCCTCACAATCCTCACAGCCATGATACTGCCACAGTCCAGGAAGTGCTTCTCAACGGCAGATTCTTCAACTTCTGAAAACAAAATCAACCAAAATGGAAGTTAAGAGTTGGGAGCTCCTCAGAAAAATGGAGATGTTTCATAATACTGCTAGTTAAGCATGGTCCCATGAAAATATGTCATTACACGGCATACCTTTTAGTACCTGTGTTGCCACGGCAAGCACACTGCATGCTTTAAAATTAGTCTTACATCAAAACATTACGTTACTACTCAGTTCTTATTTCCTTGTTATTTATTTAGTAACATTAACTGTACTTTGTTTAAATAAACTTACTGTAAGGGAGATTCCCTACAAAAACGGATCTCTTGTCTCTCTGAAACACAAAGACAGTTAATAAAAATCACTCATTAGACCAAAAAATGGAAGTCATCCAAATCTTCCCTGTCCCTCCTTCCCCCCGTATCTGACAGGTCACCACTTTTAAATTTAACCACACAACTGTTCCTTGATTCTGTTTCTTCTGCCTTCCCTGCTGGACTGTGTGTGGGTACCAGAGGAGGGAGCGGCTTTTTGTTCACAGCTGGCACTGCCACACGGCAGTGCTCGGGAAGAGCTTGCTATATTGGAGGAATGCAAACTTTTGGTAAAAGGCCAGACAGCAAATATTACAGGCTCTGCAGGACATGTAGAATCTGTTACAACTACTCAACTCTGCCATTATACCTTGAGAACAGCCCATAGATAATACACAAACAAATGAGTGTGGCTGTGTCAAAAGAACACTTTATTAACAAAAAAAGGCAGCAGGCAGACTTGGCTCTCAACCACAGTTTGTTGACCCGGTACTAGGTCTCCAAGTCAAGCCAGCGCTTTCATCCAGGTCACTGTCATTTCTCCACTAAGTTGCTCTGATATCGACAGAAATGTACTCTTATGTTTCTGTGGGTGAACCGTTATAACTGTCCTTCATTCATTTCTAGGCACCTCTACCAAATCCAAATCTGGTCATGTCACTCTGAGTTTAGAAGCAAGGTAGACGAGGTCTTCATGATTTGGCTTCTATTTGTCCAACAGCAACTCTTACACATTCTACCCACCTAATAACCGTATCAAGCTCTTGCCATCCCCTGAGCAAATTAGTTTCTATCCTTACCATTTATACTGTTTATTTCTGCCCAGACATAGCCTGCAACCTTTACAACATTTTTGGTCTACAGAAGTCTCCTCCTCTTTCTTTTTTCATCCCCATTTCTCCACAGGTTACGTTCTATCTCCTCATCTTTCAAGACTATTATGACATTTACTCCCCTGGAAACCTTCCTTGTCCCTTCTTGCTGGCACATCCCCAAGTCAAGCAAGCCAACCCTGAGCTGACAAATCATCCTGTGCATTAATAACAGTACTTATACGACAGTGACACGACTCATCGCTCTGATACTTTCTACTGTATACTGTCAGCTCCTAGGAAGCTGAGACGGTCTTAGAACTGTATCTCTGACAGAGTCTGTATTAAAGCTGTCTAATGAATCACTGAACTTTTGAGACCTCGGTCTACAAACTGAAGTGTTAGACCAGATGATGTCCAATGTACCTTTTGACCTAATTATAATTATTTGAGCTAATGGTAGGTAGGGGACATACTTCAAATGGAAGAGGACTATGTTTTCGTTTCTTTTTAAGAAACAGGGTCTCCCTCTGTTTGCCAGGCTGGAATGCAGTGGCACCATCACAGCCCACTGCAGCCTCAAACTCCTAGGCTCAGGTGATCCTCCAACCTCTCAGCCTTATGAGTAGCTGGGACTACTGGCATGCACCACACACTTGCCTAATTTTTTTATTTTGTAAAGGTGGTGTCTTGCTATATTGCCCAGGCTGTTCTTGAACTCCTGGCTCCAGTGATCCTCCCATCTTGGCCTCCCAAAATGTTAGGATTACAGGTATGAGCCACTGTGCCCAGCTAGGACTACGTTTTTGAAGCTAATGTTGACCTCAGTCCTTGTGCCTCTCTTGCCATCAACTCTAGCCACAGAGGACATAGGCTGTTTCCTTCTGAGCTTCCCTCACACTGCTGATTCCAGCCCCTTTGAGGAAAAGCCTAGAAGGAAAGATTTCTCTCTACAAAGCTCTCATTCTTAAACAAATCAAGTACTACTTACAGATGAGGTCTCAGATGCGAGATCAACTCTAACACGAAATCCATCTGCAATTTGGGCCCCATTTCTATATTATAAATAAAAAGGGAAAATGGTTGTTAAAAATGAGCACTCAATTATTTTTTTTTATTTTTTATTTATTTATTTATTTATTTTTGAGACGGAGTTTCGCTCTTGTTACCCAGGCTGGAGTGCAATGGCGCGATCTTGGCTCACCGCAACCTCCGCCTCCTGGGCTCAGGCAATTCTCCTGCCTCAGCCTCCTAAGTAGCTGGGATTACAGGCACTGCGCCACCACTGCCCAGCTAGTTTTTTGTATTTTTAGTAGAGACGGGGTTTCACCATGTTGACCAGGATGGTCTTGATCTCTCGACCTCGTGATCCACCCGCCTCAGCCTCCCAAAGTGCTGGGATTACAGGCTTGAGCCACCGCTCCCGGCGAGCACTCAATTATTAAAACATCTATGCTAAAGTGAAAGAAAAGAATTAAAAAAAGTACTCAGGCCAGGACTGGTGGCTCACACCTGTAATTCCAGCACTTTCGGGAGGACAAGGCAGGCAGATCATGAGGTCAGGAGTTCAAGACCAGCCTGACCAATATGGTGAAACCCCATCTCTACTAAAAACACAAAAATTAGCCAGGCGTGGTGGTGCATGCCCAGCTACTTGGGAGGCTAAGGCAGGAGAATCGCTTGAACCTGGGAGGTGGAGGTTGCAGTGAGCCAAGATCACACCACTGCACTTCAGCCTGGGAAACAGATCGAGTCTCCATCTCAAAAAAAACAAAACAAAAAACCTCATACATTCATAGATACTTATAGGACAATTATTCTGTTCAAACCTCAGGGATAAAATTACCTTTTCAATGCTTGTGTGGCAGCACTCTCATCCTTAAACACAACATAGGCATTAATATTTTTCTGGTCAGGATGAATTTTACGTCTACACCCAAAAAAAAAAAAAAAAAAAAAGAGAGAGAGAGACAAGGTAAAGTTTGTTAGCCTCAAAGTTACTAGAAAAAAATCCAGCTTCTTTTCAACTCTTAACACACATGACAAGAATTCCTGGGTGGAAATTTCATCTCTTTGAATAAACATTTAGTAATAACTCAAAAATAACACGCAACTTATGAAGATATCGGTGGAGACACAATCCACACTTTCTTAGGAGTCATAACCATGAAAAAACAAATGGACCATGTATGTGAATCCCTGAGAACCACACAAGGACTAAAACCATCTTAACTGCAGCTCCGTATATAACACACAAATAAACAGTTGTGAAAGACATGAGTTTTCCTCTACTGTAAAATAAAACACCCATATAGAAGAGTGCACAAACCATGTATAGCTGAGCAAATTAACAAGAGCTCAACGTGCCTCACAGCCCACTCAGAAGCCCCTCTGTGGCCCTCTCCAGCTGCAGCTCCTCCTTCCCTCCAAAGGCAACCACCATTCCCATTTTTATAGGAACTACTTCCCTGCACATCTTTGTGGTTTTATTAGCCAAGTGTCTTAGATATTATACTTTGGTCATGTCTGTTCTTTTGACTTAGTATGTCTTTTGAATCTTGTTTAATTTACAGAATTTTCCCTGCATCTCTTTATCTCACTGTTTGGCCTGCACAATTCTCCACAGCCTAGATTTTGTGAGTGTAAGCTTATCAAGTAGCTCAACACAAACCTTTGTCCCCGATATTTCTTGTAAACTGACAGCTGCATCCAAAGGTTGGATCAGACTCAGAGTTGACCCCTTTGTCAGGACTGTCAGTAGGTGCTCTGTTCTTTCAAGGGAGACATGTTATGACTGGTTTTTACTCTTTTGTGAATCACTGCAGCTGGTGCTACTCAACGCCTAAACTCATTAATTCACGAGGTTTGCAAAATGGTGATAGAATTTGGATGTGATAAGTTAGCAAAAAGGACATAGTCATGAACACAGATCTTCCCTGAAGACATCCACCTACTGCTTAAAAGTAAGAAAAATGCTACTATACAACTGAGTATCATCAAGAAGGGATCTGGAAGATAGTGACTGACATGACTCATGGCATTCTGTAAGGAAACACTATACTAACACTTTTGTATTGATTAAACCAGCTGTGATTTATTGAATGCCTAATGTATACCAGACACTCCACTAGACATTTTATGTATTTAATCTCTCATCTCCAACATGAGTGTATTTTCTAAGTTTATGAATCCTGGAAGCTGAGTCTGAAAGAGGTACATGACTATGATGAAAAGGCAGCAAGTGGCTGGCCAAGGACTGAAACCAAGTCTAGCTGACTCTAGAGCCCTGCTCTTTCACACAACACACGGCTGCTGACAACATCCAAATCCAACACATCCTAGTGTATCCCCAGGAATACATGTTGCAGTTCCGCTTCCACCTAGAATGTAGGAAGCCAGAGAGTACATCACTCCTGCCCTTACCAGTAAGAAGAAACCACATAACCCACAGCATCATAACGTTTGTCACAGCCATCAGAGAGCTGAAGTCTCGGGGAAACCTAGCAGCCTGGAAGCTAAGGACAGGCCCGCTCCCTCCAAGGGGAGACAGAGGAAGGACTGGCTCTACTGGCTCTATGGTGGCCAAGCACAGGGGCAAAATGCTGGACACCAGACAAGGAGGAAAGATTCAAGCCATGATCTCACTAAAAACCCCAGAGCTGGGCCTGAAACGGAAGCCCTGGAGGTTGCTGATGCAGGAGTGTTCAGCCCAGCCCTAGGATCTGCCCCACTGGCCTCCACTCAGTGGGAAAGACTGAGATCACAGCCATCGGTGCTGCAAGCCTGGAGAAGGGAATGGACAAAATGTGGAAAAGGCACAAAGCCCCACCTGGATTCTTCTCCCGACTGAGGAGAAGGCTAAGCTGCTAGGGGAAGAATGGCAAACCCTGTCACTCCAGGGCACAGAGAAGACGCCTACAGCTGGAGGAAGGGAGGAGTCCAGCTACTGGGGGAGAGATGGGAAACATCCTCTCCACAATCCCCACCAAAGGTACAAGGCATTTGGCACAGCTTGGCTGCCCCAGGAAAGAGGCACTGATCAGGTGCACTCCTGAGACACAGAAACAGTAAGACAGGACAGCAGAGACCCGGCTGCACCCACTCCCACCAGACTATCAAGCCAACTGACAAACAACAGCACCCCCTTCCCAATTTTTTTTTGAGACGAAGTTTCACTCTTGTAGCCCAGGCTGGAGTGCAGTGGCACGATCTCAGCTCGCTACAGCCTCCACCTCCCAGGTCCAAGCAATTCTCCTGCCTCAGCCTCCCGAGTAGCTGGGACTATAGGTGTGCACCACCACACCCAGCTAATTTTTGTATTTTTAGTAGAGACAGGTTTTTACCACATTGGCCTCCCAAAGTGCTGGGATTACAGGTGTGAGCCGCCTGGCCAACAACAGCACTCTGTAAATGAGATCTTCAAGAAAACTTAAAAGTTTCAATCTTTAAGACACACCTCTGGCCATGCCCGGTGGTTCACATCTGTAATCCTAGCACTCTGGAAGGCTGAGGTGAGCAGATCATCTGAGGTTAGGAGTTTGAAACCAGCCTGGCCAACATGGTGAAACCCCATCTCCTCTAAAAATACATAGATTAGCTGGGCATGGAGCCAGGCGCTTATAGTCCTAGCCACTTGGGAGGCTGAGGCAGGGGAATTGCTTGAACCCAGGAGGCAGAGGCTGCAGTGAACTGGAATTGCGCCACTGCATTCCAGCCTGGTGACAGAGCAAGACATCTCCAAAAAAAAAAAAAAAAAAAAAAGACAAGAATAAGACATCTCTAAAAAAGCCAGCCACAAATGGAAGCAAAGTATCTGAAACACACATAGCAGGAAAAAGTATTATATCTATAATACATAAAGAACTCCTTACAATTATATAAAAATAATTTAAAAGTCACTAAAAAAAATGGGCAAAATTTTCGTACCAACATTTCACCAAAGAATAGATACAAATAGTAAGCGCATAAGATGCTTAACACCTTTAGTCACTGTGGTTGACAAACTTCTAGAATGGCTAAAATTAAATGACAATGCCAAATGCTGGTGAGGAACTGACATTCTTATCTATAGTTGGTGGAAATGTAAAATGGTACAAGCACTTTGGAAAACATTTTGCAGCTTCCTAGAAAGTTAAAACATACCATAAAATCCGACCAGGCAGCTTCTCAAGAGAAATGATCTGCACCCAAGTATTTTTAGCATTTTTATGCATAGTAGCCAAAGGCTGAAATAACCTGAATGTTCAAAAACTAGTGAATGAAGCCGGGCGTGGTGGCTCATGCCTGTAATCCCAGAACTTTGGCAGGCCAAGGCAGGCAGATTCAGGAGTTCGAGACTAACCTGGCCAATGTGGCAAAACCCCATCTCTACTAAAAATACAAAGTAATTAGCCAGGCATGGTGGTGTGTGTCTGTAATTCCAGTTAATCAGGAGGCTGAGTCAAGAGACTCACTTCAAGTGGAGATAACAAAATGAAACAGTGAATGGATAAACAAATGGTACTGCCATACAATGGATTATGAGTGCAATACAATCGAATAAATTACCAATGCATTGCAATAATAAGAACAAATCTCAGAAGAGCACAGTGGCTCAAGCCTGTAATTCCAACACTTTGGTAGGCAAGGCAGGAGGGTTGCTTGAGCTCAGGAGTTCCAGACCAGCTTGGCAACAATAGGGACACCTTGGCTCTACTAAAAACTTTAAAAATCAGCCTGGCATGGTGGTGAGCACCTGTAGTCCCAGCTATTCAGGAGAACTGCTTGAGCTCGGGTGATCAACGCTGCCGTGAGCCATGACTGTGCCACCTCCAGCCTGGGTGACAGCACAAGATCCTGTCCCCCACCGACCCCCAACAACCCTCCCCCACAAAAAAACAAACCTCAAAATCACTATGCTGAGCAAATTAGACAAGAGTACATCCTGTATGATGAGTCCACTTACATAAAATTCTGGAAAAGGCAAACTAACACATAGAGACAGAAAGCAAGGGAGTGGCTGTCTGAGGACAGAGGTAGGGGGACATATTGCAAAGGGTCAGGAAGAAACTTGAGGTGATATGTTCAGTATCTGGACTATGGCAGTGATTTCAAGATTGCCTACATATGTCAAAATCATAATTAAATTGTACATGTCAAATATGTGCAGTTTACTGGAGGTAGCTTTAACAAAGTTTAAAAAAAAGTTTTAAAAATTTTGGCTATAGCCGGGCGCGGTGGCTCAAGCCTGTAATCCCAGCACTTTGGGAGGCCGAGGCGGGTGGATCACGAGGTCAAGAGATCGAGACCATCCTGGTCAACATGGTGAAACCCCGTCTCTACTAAAAAAAAAATACAAAAAATTAGCTGGGCATGGTGGCGCGTGCCTGTAATCCCAGCTACTCAGGAGGCTGAGGCAGGAGAATTGCCTGAACCCGGGAGGCAGAGGTTGCGGTGAGCCGAGATCGCGCCATTGCACTCCAGCCTGGGTAACAAGAGCGAAACTCCGTCTCAAAAAAAAAAAAAAAAAAAAAAAAAAAAAAAATTTGGCTATAAGAAAAAGGAAACAAGTTTTACATGGCAAAATTTCCCATAAGCCAAATCAAAACGCTAACAAGTTGGGGTGTGGTGGTGTGCACCTATAGTCCCAGCTGCTCCGGAGACTGAGGCAGAAAGATTACCTGAGCCCAAGAATTCCAGGTTATAGTGGGCTGTGACTGAGTCACTGCACTTCTGCTGGAGAACAAAGTAAGATTGTCTTTCAAAAATAAAATAAAAAGCAAATGACAAATAGAGAAAAAATATTCATAACTCCTGTCACAAAAGGCTGATTTTATTAACATTCCACACATCAGTATGACTAACAACTCAAACAAAAGAAAGCACAGCCAGGGGAGGTGGCTCATGCCTGTAATCCTAACACTTTGGGAGGCCAGGGTGGGCGGATTACAA